GTGATTCTGTGGTATTAACTATAAATCTCTGTAGAAAAGACCGGCCCCATGCCACCTTCTGAGTCACAGCACTGTCTGCATAAGTGCTTCCAAAACCCCCCGCTGATCTGTTTTAAACTGCCATCTGCAGAATCTATTCGGAAGCAGACATAAATGCATGCAGATGAACTGTGATTATTAGTGAAGGCAAAGAAACCTCAAGAATTAGGGGTGCATGTTCCTAATGCTTATATCTTCTGAAAAGTACATATTCTGAAAAGGAAATCAACTGGGGACAGGAATGAAGACAGAGATTAATTTCTTGAGGTTTCAGTAGAAGATTTACATGGTATGAAAAATAAAATAAAATCCAAGAACATTCTTTGGTCATGACTGACACTCACACAACATGACCTCTCTCTGCCAGTGCAGCACAGGCAGCCTCAACAAGGGAGAATCACAGCCTCTGAATCCCTAGGAAATGGAAGCAGGAACAGGTTCTTCTAATAAATATTTCTGAAGCCACAATTAGAATGAGAGGTGAAAAGCGGCAACCAAGAGAGCACCTGAACCACAAGAGTGGTCAACAGAGGGTCACTCAGAAGATGGCTGCTCGGAAAGCCATCCCTGGAAAACATACTGCGTGGTAAGTGTAGACAGACAAATGACAACACTGCTGGAAACAGGCCAGAGGACAAAGAATAAGCTTTGTAAGCCTCTTTGGAAAACCATCAGCGTATTGTAAGAATTAGGAGGAGAACCAGAAAAAGTGCTTGATAGCTGCTCTTGGGCTCCCCTTTACATGGAAGTCATGGACATCCTGGAGCGGGTGCAGCAAAGGGCCACAAAGATGTTTAAGGGATTGGAGCTGGGAGGCTCCAGGCTGAGGGAGATGGAACTGTTCAGCCTGGAGAAGGGAAGGCTCAGGCGGATCTCACACATGCGTACAAATTCCTGACGGGAGTGGGGGTAAAGACCACCAAGCCAGACTTCCAAGTCACGGACAAGAGGCAATGGGCATAAACTGAAATACAAGAAATTCTGTGCGTTCTCACCTCAGCCACCCTGCAAAAGACCAGAAATCATTCTGGGATGGGAAACCTCTTGCAGTCATATGCTCATAAATGGGTGAAGTGATACTAATCATTGTCAATCAACTCAGGGTTCGCAGCTAAGTACAGAGTAAAACAGCTCTAACACAGAGGAGAGCAGGAACTTGTCATTACAGTATTACACTACTTCAAGTATTCCTTCCAAATTTACCTCTTCCTTTCTTTTCTACCCTAACCTGCAACCTCCATATATCAGTTGGGGTTTTTTTGCACAGAAGTTCGTAACAGTGTATTTCATGTATTAACAATTCACAAAAAAAAAATTCATAATGAAACTCACTCTTAAAAAGAACCACCACCCACATACTACAAATACTTCTGTTTGTACAGCTATAACATTATTGCGGTTTAAAAGGAAGGGAGTTCGAACTTTTCAAACACAGTAATTGAGAATTTCAACAATAACCTGCTCATTTTGCTACCTTGTGCAGAGTTGTAACACTCACTCTGTAATCATACGTAGAGTCTGGGTTCTCCTCACAAGCAATGACCTCAGGCGCCATCCAATACGGTGTGCCAATAAATGTGTTTCTTCTCCCAATAGTCCTATCCAGTTGAGCACTTACACCAAAATCCACTGAAAAGCCAAGCAGACGTAAAGAAATTAAGAGAGTTGCATCCATGTGGCAGTGTTTGCTTGGTTACTTTCCATATTGTTTAGGCTACAATGCATATCAAATCCAAGTTCTTCCAGTACATCTTGTCCAATAGTTGAAATTTAACTGCCCTTTTTTTTTTTTTTTTCTTTTCAGCAGAAGTATCAAATAAACAACATGCTAAATCTGCCAGGAAGGTTACAGCAGACATGAATTGCTCTAGGAAGACGTAACAGAATAATTTATGCTTAATCTAAACACTGCATTGAGTAGGACTCGAGATCTTTAAGTAGTCCTTGAAAGGAAAAATAGTATCTACAGACAAGGGAAATTTGGATGTGTCTAACATGGCCATTTGTGAAAGCTGGAAAGAACTACCATACCACTTCATTTTGAGGTGTTTGGAATAACTCCTTCCCTACATTCATACACTATCTTAGAACAAGCTGGAGAGTATACGAGTTTATAATGAGTCTAAGATCAGAATAATGAGAATCATGTGGTGCTCTTTGTGCTGAAAGGGGTGTTACTTTCATCAGGATTGTACAGCAAAATGGTTTTGTTCAGACAGGAAGACGGGCCCATGCAACCAGTAACTATGTGATTGTATTTTTCTTCGACCAAACCTCTAAGATACACTAATTGGATCCACTGGGCATAGCACTTGAGTGCTATTCACAGAGAAGACAAAATAACAGGGAAAAGAAAGGACTGAAAGTAGACAACCCTATGGTTACCATCAAGGAGCAGATTTTCTCACGTTACCTCATTGCAGATCATCTGCAAAGCACAATCATTTGTACTACTATAATTTAATGTGCCTGTTTAAGCAAATCTTCTCCAACAGTAAGTTGGACCTGACCTTTGGGATCATCATGCGCTCTGTGCTTCTGATTGGAAGTGTGCACACTTACACTGAAGTTGAATGCAAGTGGACCGAGGACCTCTTGGGTTTCTAGCTTCCCTACTTTAAGACACATGAGCTAAATCTCTCTGGAAATAACTTTTTTTTTTTTTTAATATAAATTGTTGTTCTTAGTGAATCTGTTTCATCTTTACCCAGAATTCGAAAGATTTAACTTTCTTGTCAACCATGTGAAGAATGGTGGGACTAGTAACTATACAAGACCATAAACACACACAACCATGCCATCTTGCCACTTTTAAGAGGCAACAGTTGAAAATTAGTACACATCTTTCAAAGACTACAAGCAAAATCCTGCCTTCATTTAATAAAACAGCAAAACTCCCTCTGACTTCAGTGAAGCCAGGGTCTTGCCATAAGGTTAAACCACAATGAGATTTAAAGTACTTATTTTTACATGCTCCATTCAAACATCCTACCTCACATCCTCAGGCCATGTTCATTATTTTTGTTCTCCAACTATAGAGTAAATTCTTTCTCTTAAAGAGACAGGGAGCGTAAAGATCATCCCAAGTAAGACAAGTGCTCTCCTTGAGACTGCTCCTTTAAATCATTGCCATGAACCCTGTGATCTCTTCCCAAAACATGAAAGACACCCCCTCCTCAAGAGGTATGTAGTTGAGCTTAGTCTTAGGAAGTCAGAAGTCACAGATGCGTCACAGCTAGAAAAGAAAGTAAGTGAACTCTCCAACATTTTGAGGGATGACTACTAGTAAGAGGTATTCTTCGTGGTAGCCCTTACACATGAGTAATTTCACTTATTGTCAGATTTACGAAAATATCTAAGACCACTTCCCTTAGAGAAATGGATTACCATAATTTATTCCCCCAACTTTTTGACTTTGTAAGTCTTTGCATGCTGGATCTGCTGTGAAGGCCTGATGGTGCTGTGACTTACTAAACAGGTTCTGTGTTTGCCCAGAAGCAGCTGTATTCCCCACAGGCTATGAATGACATCCTTGCAGAATGTGCCACATTTTCATCTCTTTCTACATGACAGACACCTTATAAACACAAGCATTAATGCTACTTGACATATTTGTTGCTCTTAGGTTACTGAATGTTCTTTCCAAGACAAGATGGAAATCTTAAATTTTTACAAACAGGTTTCTAGCACACATTTAAGGAAACTTACCCAGTTTTACCTCTGCATTTTCTGTGAGAAGAACATTCTGTCCTTTAATATCTCGATGGATGACATGGTGAGCATGAAGATGTGCTAAGCCCTAAAAGAAAACCAGACTTTCCTTAATCTTTCTTCCTATCTTTATCATGAGCGTGCCATTGTTGCCTTTTTACACTTCTACCCTTCTCAAACTTCATTCATAGGGAAAGTCCTTTAGATGTTATTAGCAACATGAAGACCCCAGTTTCTGGGAAGAGAGAAGACAGCAACTGCCAAGTTTGATTGTCACCTTTACCCACAGGCCTGACAGTAGTGGAGCATCTCTGAAGTCAAGTCTGAAGAGAACAAGGTAGCAATATTTTAAACTTCTGTCTCAGAACCAAGGGATGCCGCTTTATACATTAAAATGTATATGCATTAAAAGCAAACAGAAGAGGGAAAGA